GCAAGAATGCGGAAAGGTGAAGAATTCTGCTTCTGCTTTTTGCATCTCGCGCTGCCTCTGGGGGGGGGGCCTCGACCTACGCTCATTGCTCATTGCTCATTTCGCTTTCACTATGCTTTGCCTTCTGCCTAATCTGCACAGCTCCAGCTCCAATGTCAGACTTCCAGCCATCTACTTGAAATAGACTGCTCTCCCCTGCTTCGCCATCACTTGTGGTCAACGTCTCGTATATGAGACGAACTCTCCCCTCAGCACTTCCACTCCTAGAGGCAGCCCCCCGATCCCCCATCACCTACCCGCGTCGATTTCAGTCTTCTACAGCATCGGCGCCTCTGTCGACGGATCCTGAAGACCTCAACCTCCCTCCGACCTCCCACCATCCGCCCGTCATGTCCACGTCGGCGTCGACCGCCGACTCGGACAGCGAGGTGCAGTCCCGCACCCAGCACAGTCCCCTCGCCTCCCAACGCGCCCAAGCTGAGAACCCACGAAGATCTCGCCTCGAGAACCTGTTCCCTTTGTCATACAAACAGGGCTTCTCACAATGGTGGACTGCTCTGCCCGCCGCTCAAGCAGAACACCGTGTGCTCACGTTTGTCCCACATTTGCAACCACCACCCACGCACGCAAAGACAAACTCTGCGCCTCCCTCACAGCATAATTCAACCGTCATCATAGACAAGAGTGCTTCCCCAGAAGCCACCACCTCAACGAACTCAATCACAGATCCATTCGGCCCTCGAACATGGCACTCTCGCCTCGTCCCACTCTCGGGGAAGAACCGCGCCTTAAACGAATTCTCGGTCGTACGCAACGTCCCCGAGGAAGGTGATCCGGAGCATAATCTAGTCATTCTGCACGGCTACGGGGCGGGTCTAGGTTTCTTCTACAAGAACTTTGAGCCGCTCTCCCGCGCTCCAGGGTGGCAACTCTACGCACTAGATATGCTCGGCATGGGTCGCAGCTCGAGACCGCCTTTCAAGTTAAAATCCAAGACGAGGGAGGCGCAAATAACCGAGGCAGAGGATTGGTTTATCGACTCTTTGGAGGAGTGGCGGGTGCAGAAGAAGATCGACAAGATGACGCTTATTGGGCACAGTATGGGGGGATACATGGCCGTGTGTTATGCCTTGAAATACCCCGGGAGACTGAATAAATTGATCCTGGCAAGCCCCGTGGGAATACCAGAAGATCCTTACGCCACGCACGCCGCTATGCCGCCTCCGCCAGATTCGGCCATGCAGAATGAAACCACCGAAAGGGAAGCCCAGTTGAAGCAAAAGCCCAACCCAAACCGCCTCCCGGTCAAAGATACCTCGTCGACAGAAAATTCGTCATCTGAAGAGGCCTCGACCCCTCCCCCACGTCGCCCTCTACCGAAATGGCTCACCTACCTCTGGGACGCGAACATCTCGCCGTTCAGTTTCGTTCGATGGTCAGGTCCCCTAGGGCCTCGCCTCGTCTCGGGGTGGACATCTCGGCGCTTCTCACATCTGCCGTCTGAGGAAGCCTTGGCATTGCATGACTATAGCTACTCTTTGTTCCGGCTGAGAGGCAGCGGGGAATACGCGCTCGCCTACATCTTAGCTCCAGGAGCATTTGCGAGGAGTCCATTGATTAGACGGATCGGAGGTGTGGGGAGACAGCCTCTCACGGCTTCGACGCACGAGATCAGTGAAAACGGCCAGCTAAAGCAGTTTCCGGGATCATCCTCAGCTGCACAAAATGACACTCTTTCAACTTTCACCCCGTCCTCCTCGGCCTCAAAGGATCTAGCGCGAGAAAGGGGCATCCCGGTCGTGTTAATGTACGGCGAAAACGACTGGATGGACGTCTCGGGAGGGTACGCGGCCAAGAAGAAAATCGATGCCGAAACAGCTCGCGCTCTGGCCGCCGCTTCGCCCGAAGAGAGGGACCAGGACCACGGTTCCGCCAAGGTTGTCATCATCAAGAATGCCGGACATCATCTGTATCTTGACGGTCCGGACGAGTTTAATGAGGTGATCCTCGCAGAGATGGAAGACGTGAGAAGGCGGACTTTGAGGGAGAAAGAGAGGAGAGGTTGAGATGAGAGACGATAGATCGATTTCGAGTTGCATGGCAGCGTTTGCTTTATGGTTGTCAGGCATCATGATGGTGGTTATGAATTTCAAATCGGCATTACATTGAGCGTGAAGTTCGGGGTTGGGGAATCATAGAAGAGCGACGGCATGTCTTTGGGTTGGGAGGCAACAGAAGAAGCCTGGGACTGTCCGACAGTTTAGATTGGTGCTGTCGTGCCATTTTCCAGGTTCAACACGTCGTGACATTCTTGATTGTTCCCTCCGTATGTACATATCAGTACCAGATGAGGAGATTCCTCGAGAAGAAAGAAGAGATTTGTCAATTCTTATCACCCCCTGATTGATTCACTCACTCACTCACTCACTCACTCACTCACGCCGAGATGCCGTCTCAGTGGAAGCTGGCCCTGTGACTCTGAGAGTCTGCCTTTACATCTTCATCTTCATCTTCCTCCTCTTCCTTCTCGACCGAATTCCCGCTTCGCCTCCCGCCGCAACGCCGTGTCCGCCGTGCAGTGCTGCGCGGCACTGCATATACCAGCGTGCCATCAAAAGTCATGATTTCCATGTTTGAGGCCCGCCCCTCTCACAACCGGGGTAAATCACCGCCGCGGCAATTGATTGGACTGATGATCGACATCAACGAAGAACTTGGATTTTACAACGAGTGCGCCCCGGAGCAGGATAGAGCAAAGAAAAGAAAGAAAGAACGAAAGAGAGAGAGAGAGAGAGAGAGAGAGATTTTATTTGGCCAAGTAATGCTCGTAATAGTATGGCAAGACGTTGCTGCGCAAGCAGGGAAGAAGCCAACCAAGCAAAGACAGATTGGTTGGTATGCGAAGTGAGGGCTCAGCTCTGCTCAATCGAAAGATCGTCCAGCTTTGCCCAGGATTTGAACAAAAAGGGCATTTTCCCACTCTCACGGCGTTTCAGCGACAAGGAACACCAATTTCTCACCGCTCACTTTCCCGCTCTTCTGATCCGCCATCCCCTTCAAGACGCCTTCCAGTCCGTCCTTGCCGACCTTCTGCTTGTGCGCCTTCACCTTGCCGTCCCGAAGCAGCCCTTCCGCCATGGCCATGAACTTCTTGGCGTACTCAAAGTCCTCGTTGATGGCTGGGAACTCGTGGGGCCCAAATTTGAACGGCTCGCCGAAGATGGTGTACATCAACGTGGTTGTGCTTTCGACGTCCTCGCGCGGGGAAGTGACCTGCAGGATGCTGCCATATTTGCAGCCCGGTTCGCTGGACAGGGCGTCGGCGCAGAACTGGGCGCTGGGCTTCTCGCTGATCGTGTCCCACGCCAGTTTGAGCTTGTTGTTGGTCGATGCGCGGATCTTGGAGGGAGCTTGCGGGTCGTTGTAGTCGTAGACTTCGCTGGCTCCGAGCGACTTGACATAGTCAAAGTTACGTGGCGAGCAGGTGGCAATGACCGTGTATCCGGATCTGTGGAAACCCGAAAAGTTGGAAACCCACCGTTAGCCTCTTACTGTTCATCCTATGAGGGGATGGTGATGGGATTGGGACACTCACAGCTTTGCGAACTGAATGCCTAAGGCGCCCGTAGCGGTGCTTCCACCGTAGATAAGAACATACGTCTTCTCTTTGACGGGGTCGGTGGGCCAATTGAGCTTCAACGCCTTTTGATAGAGTCCTTGCATAACAGTGGTGGTCCCGAGCGGGAGGGTAGCAGCCTCTTCAAAGCCCATGGAATCCGGGATCTTCATCTGAATGTCTCCCTTTGCAACGACGTACTCGGCAAAGGCGCCGTCTTCCGGCTGGACTGCGTTGCCGCCATGGCTGACACCGGCAATCCTGTCACCTTTGGAGAAAGACTTGGTCACGGCAGGACCGACCTCCTCGACGATTCCTGAGAAATCACACCCTGAGAGGCAGCCATCGGCTGCCAAGCCGAAGGCAGCGTGCTTCCAATCCGTCGGGTTGAGCGCCACGGCGACGGTTTTGACGAGGATGTAGTCGTCGCGAAGTTTAGGCATGGGACGGTCCCGGTCGACATAGACGTCATTGCCCTTGATAACAACGGCCTTCATTTTGAATCTTGAAACTCGACCTTGGGAAGATGAAATTTTGGAGAATTCTCGTCTCAGGTATTCGTCAGTGTTATGCGTGATTTGCACAGGGGTGTCAATGGACAAGCCCGTAGGTAGTCTTTCAGGGAGATAAAGTTGTAGGCGATCAGGATCTACGGTTGGTATCTGGTAGTGGAAAAGTTAAAGACGACTATGTTTCAACGTTGAAAGCGGTTGGAGAAAATGAAGTTCTCATGATATCATTAACTTAAATACCTAGAACACAGTGATAGAAGTCGAGAATATGGCGTGCGGCCGCGGTTCGGTCAGAAGGTTGTCTCGGCCTAGCAGAAGTGAATGGCTCCCTGGAGTAGAGAAAGGCTCCCCGGAGCAGAGGAGGCTTTGATAAGCAAACTGTGCATTGGATTGTGGCTCGTTGGTAATGAAGCGAGGAAAGGAAATGAACGGCGAGGGGGGTAGATCGCCCACATGTACCGGTACCGAAGGTAGCCATGTGTGGAGGGCATGCATAGTGGTGGAGTGGTTCGAATCGTCACAGCCATTACCTCGGCGAATCATCCCCTGGGTGGCAACAAGGGAACAAATCCAGCTGCCTACAAGGGCTTGATATGGGTATCGCGCCTTGATCCAATTGCCGATTTTGGAGTACGTCATTCGTAATGCGTATCGCCAGGTACAGGTCGGCGGCATTGGCTCGGTCAGCGGTTGGGCTTCCGTTTTGGCATCCAAATTTCGTAAGGGGTTTCATAAGCCAACTGGCGCATGAAGATCTCAATCCTGCTGCGGCGCAGCAGCTCGCCCCACCCGGCAACTGGCCTCATATTGTACAGCTCACAGGATATGACTTTTGTCTCCCTTTGTCGGGATGGTCCTCCTTGCACTGTGTCTCAGGTGGCTGACGACCACACACGCACAAGCCAGTCGCGGAAGCTCTCTGGCCGGACTCCCACCAGCTGGTTGAGGTTGGTATTGACAAAATCATAGCGCCCTTCGGCCGTGGCGATCAAATGATGAACCCGAGTCTCTCGCGCATGGTCTCCTACGGCCCGGGCGTAGGTTAATGCGTCTTGTAACGAGCTCCTCGTATGGCCCGAGATTTCAAATGGCCGGCCTGCAATTAGTCAGTCTGTGGACTGTGTTGGAAGGGATCCCGCCGGTGTTTTGACCGTACCTTGGATTTCCTCAGCGATGGCCACTACATCTCGTACCGACAGTCGCTCGCCTCGCAGGCGGAATTCTCTCGGCCACGAAGGCAAGTCCAGGGCGGCGACCACGAACCTCGCGACATCAGCAGCCGATGTCATGCAAATTGTAGCAGGCTGTCCGGCGCTGTTGAGATAAGGGACCTGTGCCCGCCTTCGACGGAAGTCCATCAGATAGTCCCCTTCCTGCCCGATGTTACTTCGCAGACCGATCTGTGAGGCCGCCATGCCTCCTGGAGCGAATCTCTCGTAGAGGACGCCGCAAGTGAAGACTGTGAACCGCATGCCCGAAGGTTCATGTTGATGAAGCCGAAGAATGGCTGCACGACGGCCGTTGTCAAGAAGATCGTTCTGTGGACGCAGAGAAGGAGGCCCACCAAACTCGGAGGGTACAAAGCGACGTACGTGGGCTGCCGCTGCTGCATCGATCAGAGCAAGTTGAGCATTGCCGCTGACTGTTGAGATGACAGTGTCGACACCGGCCAGTTTGAACTTGAGGTCTGCAGGGTTTGAGTAATCAACCTGGTCAACCGCAATGTCAGTGAAAGCGGATTTCTGGATGATAGCCATCGCGCGCAGGCACAGACAAATATCCTTCATCCGCAACATTGTATATAACGGAAACAAGCGGACAACTTACTTGGAGCACCTGCCATCCTCTTGCTGTCAAACCTGGACTAGGCTTCGTTCGTCAGTTACTGCTAACAAATAGCGGGGCCCGGGACGCTCACGTACTCTTCGAGACAGGATGATGAACTGATGAGAGGTCTGTGTCGCGATACTGTTGGCAATGTACTGAGCCAACCCGTTGGTGCCAACGATTGCGACTTTGATCATGGCTGCGCTGTGCCCAGGAGGGTGATTTCTGGGTTCAAACATCTGGACATATATTTGCCCGAGACCAGCATCGTGGCAAGGTCGCTATACTGCAGTGAGTCAAATCAATTGCACCAATATCAGGAGATGGTGCGTTTATGCAAGCACATGCAGTTGCATGACGCCTAAGCTGCCTAGCCAGATGTATATATCAGTGGATGACGGGTGAATATAAGTTGATCTCTCAGCCAGGATAGGGTCAAGCAGGAGTATTAAGGCCCAGGTGGTGGACCCAGAGAATGGGAATAGACCACCAATGGGGCCTAGATCCGGGGGGAAAGAGGCTACACAAGGCAGACAAGGACAGAAGTTCTCGATCACTCCTTGCCAATGATAGTGGCCGTCCCAAGAGTAATGCTAGGCAGAGGAGTAGGCGTCGAAGGAAGTCTGCTAGGGATGAGTCGTTCCGGCAGTCACGCGGGAGTGGATTGCTTCATGGCCTTTTGGCCATTTCGGTGGTTGGAACAAGAACAAACCGGTGTCCACGGTGCAGTGCACATCAAACAGGCAGGGAATAGAGTCCACTCGGAGGAAGATTAACAGTCGAGGACGAAGTCGATAAGAACAGAAAATTGTCGCATCTTCGACAAGCAGCAATGCCACCATTGGTGGGATTTACACACAACAGTAAGTCTGAAGGAGCCTGCCGAGGTTTGAGGTTCTGCACCTCAGTGTCGCGACGGATCTGTGTACTTTGATCGAGGTTTAAAACGTACGAAGTGGTTGGTGCAACAATGGTAGAAGCTAGTGGTATCCCGGACCCAAGCCAGAGGATGTTGGTCAGCCCTATCAGGCCCGCCGCGGGAATGACCATGGGGGTCCATCCCGCAATGCCAGGACCCTCTTCAGCCGTATGGTGATTCTGACTTGCTGACTCGTAATCTCTAGTGACTCGATGGAAATAAGGGAATTTGCTGCCTGCTGCGACCTCATGCCACTGGAGCAAGCGCCAAAGTGCGCAAGACGGCCGCGGCGGGATTCGCAGCCTCCCTCAAAGCCTTTGGCACATCATGATTGCGTCCGGGCCTTGGGCACCAACTAGCGTCCGAATCTCGGGATCTGTACAACCTGGCTTTGGCGCCAGGGGAAATAGAGATACTGGAACCGAGCTCGACGAACGAGTTTCGAATCCCAAGACAGAAGTCGTCATCGTCCATCACTGCTTTGCGGAGCAGCCGAGATCAACGTCACAATCGCCACATGGGTAATCCTCCTCTTGAAACGGCTGAGATCTCGGCTGAAGACAAGCCTAACAATCTTCTGTCCGTTGCAGAAGCGTTGTGGCACTCGGTGTCAAGAGATGGTTTGAAGCCGAAATCTAAGAGAGGAATTGCGCACGACCTCGGCCCTGTTGCGGTCACGTTTTCTCGCGTCTTCGTCGCGATAGGGCTGATCCAAGCACCACCCTGGTCAGTCTAAGTAGCGCATTGAGAATAATCCCTCGACCGACAAATACCCACGGAGCCTGCCCTTGGGGTGGGCTGACAGATCCAAAGGATTGCGTAAAAGTCAAAGCTTTGGAAGTTTTGCGCTGGATCCCGATGAGAAGGATGGGCAGGAAGGGCAAGAAGGGGGGCCGAGAACCAGTGTGGAGTGAAGATTTTTGGCAGTTCGTCGAGGCCATGGGGCCGGGTGCAGTCACCCGAGGATTCAAGCGTGGACCATTGAGATAGCAGTCAGGTGTTCGTGAGGTCTACTGGGTAAGCCCATTGCGATGGATGCTGGATGCGACGGGTGTCGTTTTGGTTGCCGAAGAAAGAGAGACAGCTTGTCTATTGATGGCGGTTCAGGCAGTGCCAGTGCAAAGACAGTAGGTGAGTGTTGGTGCAGCCTGTGCCAGTGGGGTCGAGTAGATCTCATTGTCTTGGCGGCCAAAGAGAAGGAAAAAGCTCGCCCAGGTCGTGCCGCTCTTGAACCTATGCATCACCCTCTCACCTTTACTCACCCTTCACCCTTCACTCCTCCCCCGTGTACAGCGCCAACGAAATAGAGAGATCACACCTATGAGTCACGTAGGATTTAATTTGATTTGACCGTAAACATGGTGTCCGATGAAATGAGAGACAGACGGTCTGACGAATTCGGGAAGAATCCATACAACTATTCTCAGCCCCCCAGCCTGACAATTCATAGCTCAGCCCATGCAACAGCCTGTCCGAAATCCTCGATTTGCTGCTTCTGAAGCGCAGATACTCATAAATTCGACCCCGTTCAATCCCTGCTTCGATGGGTTTTCTCAAACCTTCGGAGAGGGTATACCTGATCCTGTAGCTGGCCTCAGCAATCACTTCTGGTTTGTTGTTGGGCACCGCTTCACTCGAAATTTCAAGATTCATTTCTCGACCAAGTGCCCCGGACAATCCCGCTCCCTGAACCAAGGCTAGGGTGTCTCGATCGATGCCAGCCAGGATCGAGACCAACCCAAAGGGTGTGCCGATAGGTAGGCTGTAGAGCACTGGCAACGGAATGGACAGTATTATTGTGATGATGGGGGAGATCATCAACACCAGATATAGCCCCCAAGTTGCATCAAGTGTTGGCCTAGTTGACGCGATGATCTGGCCTCGCGGCGCGTATCGAGTCTCCGGGTACGTTCGAAAGATATACCCTGTGTCAGGTGTCCCATAGTTGAGGAAAGCAGAACGAGCCCGCCATGTGTTTGCTGCAGCCACCACATAAGATATCTGCTTCCAGGGAGAGGTAGGGCGAATCGTGCTGAAAATGCCAATGGTGTTTACCAAGACCGGCAGAACATCAAATGCGAATGGATTTGTCTGCCAATCGTGAAGAACGCTCGAGTTGGCTGCCGATTGGTTGGAGCAGAGGCCCTCCAGGAGCTTCACTTCGGATTGAGTGATTTCCCATCTCCCATGGCAGCCTTGCCGTCGAATGCTGAACATTTGCGCCGACTCTATGAAACTGAGGTAGATATCGTCGGACGCGTTCCTCGTAGAGCCTATTGGAGATGGCGCGGCTACTGAGTCGTTACCGAAACTGCCCATTAGACAATCTGCGTCCCCTAATTCGGGAGTGTCGGCGGATATCTATCCAAAGCCCCAGCCTGGCGCCGTGGCTTCGAACAATGACTCCGACACAAAACCATTGTATGAGTATAGCGTCGTTTGGTCCAGAAAGATTTGATCTTGCCTGAGACTAGTAATTGATTTGTTTCGTGTCACTACAATGGCGTCGATACCGGCGGAAACTTGCCATGTCTCATTTGGGGCCAGTCTCCTTTGAATCTCAGTAATGTAGGCAGGAAGTGGTAAGTCGAGAAGAGCCGCGGAGTTCTCGCTAAGGACTAAAGTGTTGTAACTGTCTGCCAGGGGAAAGTTGGCGGCACTAGAATACTCCTGACCGTTCCTCGAAGCATTCAAAACCCTGGAATTTGCGTTCATGCTCAGATAGATTGAATTGCTCAAAGAGGCGTATGACCCAAGATCCCGATATACTAGCCCGTACAAGGCATTTGGAAAAGCATTGTTACGCCTGCGCGCCATGTCTTAGGCGCCGATAGGAGTTTATTGGCTGCAGTTGGAACTAGATCCCAGCTCTGGTTCAAGGGGAGCATGAGGCAGTGGTAGTGAACACAAGCTGGAGGGGTTGATGTTCTATTTTGAGATTCTCCCCCTGGTGATTGGTTACCGTTTGCGGTGAGACAGCGCGAATGGGGCCCACTGCCGTTTTGCTCATTGTGGTGATAGAATAAATATTCAATTTTAGGCAGGGAAACTATCCAAAAACTTAAGAATGCACTGCTGTACCTACATTGTTACGACTCCAGCCTTGTCGACAGCGGGCAAAGTCTGCGAAGAAGTTCGCTCGGTGGGAGGCATCGTGAATTAGACCTGGTAACGAATGGCACATACGTCAGGGGACAGGCAAGCCGGAGCGCCAGCATACCCGGTACCCGTGTACGTGAGATACTGCGGGCTTGTCATGGCTTGCCAGCCTGATCATTGATGGGCAAGAGCCCCTGGGCAAGAGACACTTTGCCTATAGGGGGAAGGTGGTCGCATTGAGGCTATGTACCCAGACGCATTGACTCTCAGACGCTGCTTTTGCCTCATTGCTGGCCTCCGCGGCGGGCGAGCACAGGGCGGCATCACCTGTTCCCAAAGGGTAGGTGAGGGTTGTTGGAGGGTCGGTGTACCTCGTACCCAGAACCAGTGGGTCCCGAGGTCAAGTTGATCTCATTATCTTGGCATAGACGTGACGCGCCTTCAACCAACAACCGCGCCGCCGAGGAAAACTACTAGATACCTAATACACCACTTTACACACCTTGTTTGCTGTCGCGCCTCTGACCGTCTTCCTGCACTCCATACCTCGTTTCACGTTGCAATAATGGGGCGAGATGCACGCAACACGACAGAACCAGCGCCTCAACAACCTCCTTATGGCTTCCAACTCCATTCGAGTAACATGGCTTCCGCCGAGTCATCTGTAGCGGTCAAAGCAAAGAGAAGAAGAACGAGGTTGGTTGACCTACCCCACGCTTTCTGCCCTGAGATGTCTTCTAACCATCGTCCATAGTCCCCAGGACTGTGCCATTCTCGAAGCCGCGTACCAACAAAACTCCAAACCAGACAAGGCCGAAAGAGCCCAGATAGTCAGCCGGGTTGCACTCGGCGAAAAAGAAGTTCAGGTGGGCACCCTCCTGCAATCACCAGTTGGTATCGAGGAAGCTGACCTTCTTCTAGATATGGTTCCAGAACCGTCGCCAGAATGACCGTCGTCGGTCCAAACCACTGCAGCCTCATGAGCTCGTTGCCCACCTACGTAACAATGCTGCGAGCCCTGTTCCTGCCCAGATGAGCTCATCTCCAGTTCCTGAGGACCTTTTCGTCTCTTTGCCCCATCCCGACTCAACTCTGGCGCCCGTTGAGCCAATCAACCGACCCGCTTCGCGAGGCTCAAGCATTCACGATCTTCTCAACCCAACCCCATCAGAGGATGAGACCAGCGTTAGGCATAGCTCCCAGGAAACCCTCGGCAGAATCACGCCGCCATCCAGCTTTGAGGAGAGCGGGTTGAGCATTGGGACGATGCCGCCTGCAGATGAGACTCAAAAGGACGTGCCCGAGAATTGTGATACCCGGTTGGAAGGTAGCAGTGACGAGGGAAGCGCTAGAAAGAGAGGCCACGATGAGATGACCGGAGTAAAACCTCCTAGTCACGGGCCGGAGGGACAAGGAAAGACCGGAGGGATCAGTGTCTCTAAGGAACCTCTTGTGAGAACGTCGAGTTTTGTACGGCTGGCAATGACTGTGGATGGAGCTGTCAAGGTTCGGACGAACAATGAGCCCACACCATCCCCAGAAAAGCCACGGGCTTCAGCTCCAACCGCACATAACAGGGCAAAGGCGCCCCTGGTCCGCAGCAAAAGTGCCTTGAATGGTGTGGAGCTTTTCCGCGAGAGTGCACAAGGGGCAGGGTCTAAAGGCATGGGAGCTGGATTTGGCCGATCTCGGGACGCCAGAACTTGGGAGTTTTACTGCGATAGTAAGACTAAAGATGCCCTTTCGACCCAGGCTGAAGCCGAAAGTGCGGGATCTGCTGTCAGCGCCATCAACCTCATTCGATCAAACAATTTCAAGCCGCGTCTGCAGGCCCTCAGCCCATCTTTGTCGAAGACCAATGCTCGCCTGGCCACTCCGAAGGAAGCCAGACGGAAGCTATCTCGCGCAAAGTCCTCACTGGGGCGTCTACAAGGCCTGGATTCGGCGGCAGAGCCATCGACTTGCAAATCTAAGCCTGTCCACGGCCACGTCAGATCACCATCTGGAGACTCGGACAAAGAGAATTGGGCGCCTGGCACGAGACTGTCGGAGCATCCTTTACGCAGAACGCAGCCCAGCGCACGTCAACGGCCGGTCTTGCAGGAAAATGAGGAGATGACGTTCCCGGATGCCAGTTCCTCACGAAAGCGCCATGTCGAAGGCTTTCATAGTCAGCAATCCCCGACAAAAGAGAAGGCCAAAGGTGAAGAGCTCGACTGCGTGCAGGGGTTGCTTTCGCTCAGCCAGGGAGCTTGGTCCAGATGAAGTGGCCTGCGAAGATATGGATGGAAGCCACAGGATGACCGACCAGGGAGGATATTTGTTTGATTACGGAGGCATGTTTGAGATAGCACAAAAAGAGCATGGGATATTTGCGTTTTATCTGCTTGGACTGTTCGCAGCCAGTCCGGGGTGGAAAGGGATCATCAACCCAATGTATTATGATCGCTATTGGAAATCAATTGAAGAGGTCATGTTTGTTGAAGGATCATTGTCTTCTATTTCTTTGCTCTTTTTGTGCCTGGCGGGCAACCGCAAGTGCCTAAAGGTAGAAAGCCACGTGGGCAGCAGCGACAATCCAGAGCCATCACGCCCCGATCTCAAATCGATGGCTCGACCACCAATCAAAGGCCATCGTGTCCCTCATCCAGTTGGGCTCTTAATACTGATAAACACCCTCGGAGAATATCAGCATCACTCTTTACATTCCTATAATTTTGAAGACCGAACCCTGTATTCCTACCTGCTCAAGTACAGCCCCTCCAAATTTCAGGGAGCACAGCAGTTGTCGAGACGCCGTATCTCATTCGCTCAGGGCCGACACTCCTCCTCCACATCTCTTATCGTTGCACCAACGTCGCCCTTGAACATCCAACTTGGATTGTATGTCTCGAATCTCTCGGGACCTTGCTAACAGTGCGCACAATGGCAATGCGAATGGTCCAATGCTTTTGCCTTCTCCACCCCCTTCCAACATGCAAGTCTTGCGACACACCAGCACGCTGCCATCTAGCAAAATCCCCCACGTGGCGGTTATCGGCGCAGGCATTGCAGGACTTCGCTGCTCCGACGTCCTCGCCCGCAGCGGCGTTAAGGTGACACTGTTTGAAGCCCGAAACCGTATCGGCGGGAGAGTCCATCAGATGGAATCAGGTGGCTACCTCATGGACATGGGGCCAAATTGGATTCACGGCACTAAGGGGAATCCCATTATGCATCTCGCGAACAAGACCGGCCTGACCATCTTGGAACCAGAAGAGCACCAGGCGCTTTTCGACACCGAGGGAAGAAGGAGATCTGACTCTGAAGCCGTCTGGCTGTCGAGTAAAATGTGGGAAATGGTCGTCGATGCTTTCAAGTATTCCGACGAGCACTCTGCCGACATCGACCCCCAAGTGAGTCTCTTTGAGTATTTCAAATCCAAGCTTGATGCGGACAAAGAGCTCAGTGGACGGAGAAGAGAAGACCTTCTGCACGAAGCGCAGATGTGGGGGCCTTTTGTGGGCGACTCGGTCGAGAAACAGAGTCTCAAATTCTTCTTCCTGGAAGAATGTATCGAGGGAGAGACTGTCTTCGTTGCCGGAACCTACAGAGACATTTTGAAGGAAATTGGCCGCTCCGCGACAGACGAGAGTAAAGTCGACCTTAGACTCGAAACGGAAGTCGTTCATTTCGAAACAACGTCCGACAACAGCAACGAAGACGGTATCAAGGTTACCGTTACAGCTTCATCTGGCGACCAATCCAACTTCGACGAAGTCGTCATCACCTGCCCGCTGGGCTGGCTAAAACGGCACCACACGCGGGCCTTCACACCGGCACTGCCACCAAGACTGGCTTCGGCCATCTCCAATATCAACTACGGCCGCCTGGAGAAGCTCTACGTGACCTTCCCGTCCGCCTTCTGGCTTTCTCCTCCCGACACGGAGGAGAACCCCAAAAGCCTGTCGAGCTATCCTATATTCACGCACTTCCATGATCCGGCCTATGTGCCTCACGCGAAGGACGAAGCATGGAACCAGTCCGTCGTCTCACTCGCTCACTTACCGCCGCAATGCGCCCATCCGACGCTGCTATTCTACATCTACGGACCCTGCGGTACACATCTGGTCAATTCCATCAAGGACCTCCCTAGCCACTCGACAGAATATAACGCCACCCTCGACAGCTTTGCATCCCCATTTTACTCCCGTCTGCCCAACTACAACCACGTCGACCCCGCCTGCGAGCCCAGATCGTTCCTGATGACGAGGTGGCAGGCCGACCCTTTCGCGGGGAACGGCTCGTACTGTAATTTCCAAGTCGGGCTCGAGCGGGGCGACGAGGACATTGAAGTCATGCGCGACGCGGGCGGGATGTGGAAACGGGGCCTGTGGTTGGCGGGCGAACACACTGCGCCGTTTATTGCATTGGGAACGACGACCGGGGCGTGGTGGAGCGGAGAGGGCGTGGCGAGAAGGATCTGCACGAAATGGGGGATCAGTGTGCCTGAGGATGCGGCAGTGGAGGAGGCAAATGGAAACGTTGTTCACTAGAAGGAATTAGACAAAGACAAGGCAGACGCGGCGAATTTGAGTGCGTCGGCGATTTGATTTTTCAAGCATGCATGCATATTCTCGCCTCCTTCGTTGCATAGCCAATGCTCATCTCATCCAAGCCCTGAACCTCTTTGCGTAGCTCGTGAACCACTCTGCTTCACCGCGTCGCACACTATTAATTCTGAAAGGGAGGTCCGCGGCTGAAAGAAATGATGCTGACGTTGTCGAGCTGTTTCCCAGGAGAGCGTGTCGGATCACAGCTTCTCGAAAGCCTTCTCGAGCTCTGCGCGGGGAGGCGGTTAGTTGGTATATCGCTTCGACGACCGAAACCGAACAAATCGAGACTACAAAAGAAAACAGAAAGAGAGCGCTCACCCTTGGTAATCACGTCCATCTTGTCGTCATCGGTCAGGTCTCTGGGCTGGCCTCTCCAACGCTTCTCCGTGGCCTTCGCCAGTCTTTTCTTCAATTGTTGTTGTCTCTTGTGCCCGTACTGGTCTAGAGCTAGTTTGATGCCGAGGCGCTCGACGCGGCTTGCAAAATTAAACGGGTCCTGGATGCTAGCCACGATGCGCTTCTCAGACCTGTTGGATCTGGCTTGCATCTGGGCTTCTAGAGCTTCTAGGGCAGCTCGCTTCTGAGCGCGTGTTCTTGGCCTCGCAAGTGATGCATCGGCATGCTTTGGACCGCGTTTCCCTCGCTTCGGCTTTTGTTTTCTGACACGATAGAGCGTTCTTGAAACAGAGGTTGAAGGAGTAGGTCCATCATCAGCCTCAAATTGATCATCTTTGGCAGGAGCGACAGAGACATGGTTCGAGGCAAATGGAGGACTGTAATAAGCGGACGAGAGTGTCGAATCAGCTTTTGGCATCGGATCATAGAACCAAGTGATCGGCTTTTGAGTCAACACGTCCAGCTGCTGGGCGGAAGAGGTCTGCCCCTCATGTTCGGGCAATTTGTCCCAAGATGGAAGCGAGGGATTCGAGTTGAACATATGGAATACAGCACTATCTGTTTCTTTTGTGTCAGCAATGAAGGATTTATGAAGTTTTGCATGGCCCGTGATGCGTGATGAGGCAAGGTACCCTTGACTGCTCTAGTAGCTAGTTCTTGACCGATTTGCAGACCGGACATGTTGCCCGGATTTGAAGTAACTAGTATGCTGCTCAGCTTGACACCGCGCCGCGCAAGTTGTTCTAGAATCATGTGCTGGACAGTTTCAGGGGAGGCCACCGGATCCGCGACATTGATGTACAGCGATTGCCTCGCCATCACGTTCACCTTCAACCCATTTTGGTCAGGTGGAGAAGCCATGGTCGATGTTGGTCAAGGGTGTGTGTTTCGGAAATTGAGAAGAGAGTCAAAGCAAAGTCGCAGTGGACGACGGTCATAATTAGCCGCAAACAAACATTAGCAAGTGAAGTGAAGTGAGAGTGAATGGTCGTGAAGCCCTGTCTTCTCGCGCAGGCGACTGCCCGCAGTAGTGAATAGGCCGTGAGCGACATGTCACATTGCAGTGCACGGCGTAGGCTGGGAGGCTCCAACCTGTCACGTACCAAAAGTGAATATTTGCAACAACTCCATCGCGTGGTGATGGCCATGAATATGGACATAGACATGGACGTGGCAGCTTTATTGGTGTTTTGTACAAGATGAATTTGAATCGTTACCATCATGTCGTCATTGTTTTTCCCTCAATGGATCAACTTCGGCCGCTGCTATGACGCCTCCCTTCCCTCGAGCGTCTCACCGCCAACTAACCGCTACCAGCCTCACTAACTTGCCTCCAACCTCTTTCCTCTCTCCCTTCACTCTCCTCTGCTCTCCCTGCCGCACTTGGTGAAATATATATCATCATTATGGCGATGTCCGTTGTGGAATTGCAATGAATACCACAACCATGTCTGCTTTGAAGCGTAAATCATCACGCCCCGCACATCACTCTAACAATTCCGCCAACGCCTTCATCAATCCATGGCCATCCGCATGGATGCCATCATGGGCCGAACTGTTGCAATCGTCCTTCCCCCTTGGATGGTACTCTGATGAGCTCAGTGGTCATAAAAGGGCCCGACAACTCAAAGTCATCACTCCAGACTGGGGTAAGGCGGATCTGGGAAGGAGGAATCTTGACAAGTCCGATTGTGTCGTCGGAACTTGGTTAGGCCATGCAAGCGCCCTGGTAGAGCTGCCACCTCTCGATAATCCCGAGCATAAGAGCATATGGCTTCTTTTCGATCCTATTTTTTCCATGCGAGCGGGACCGACGCAGAATAGCGGTGTCGCACGGTTCAAGCAAGCTCCTTGTCAAGCCGGGGACCTGCCAGGTTGCGATGCAGTCTTTATTTCCCACAATCATTACGACCATCTGGACGCTGCTTCAATCAAGGAGATTGTGAAGAAGTTTACCCAGGCAAAGTTTTTTGTTGGACTTGGCATCGGGCAATGGATGTCATCTATTGGAGTCTCAGAAGCACAGATCTGCGAGATGGACTGGTGGCAGAATCGCGAGTACAGTCTTGAAGACTTCGGTGTCCAATCACTGCCAGTGTCGACCGATCAAGTCGTTTTCAGATTCTCATGTGTGCCTGCCCAGCATAACTCTGCACGGAGTCCCGTCGATCAGGGGCGTACACTCTGGTGTGGCTGGGTCGTCGAGCGTTTTCTTCGCTCACAGGACGAATCAAGCGAATCTCAGGCGACTAGACGAGGGACCATCTATCATGCCGGTGATACAGGCTATCGCAGGACATCAAGGTCGGACGTTGTCTGTCCCGTTTTCAGAGAGATTGGGGAGAAATTCGGCCCTGTCGATCTTTCTTTCATTCCTATATGGCGCGGTGGAACTCTGGGATTCTTTTCCTATATGGGGCTGCGACTGTCTCATCACGACATACCCGCAGCACTCCATGCTTCTCCGGCAGATGCCATTGCGATTCATCTCGACGTCCAGTCACGTAACAGCGTTGGAATCCATTTTGGGACATTTGTTGGCTCAGAGAGCGAGACTTACGAAGCCACCATCGAGTTCGCTGAAGCGTGCGAGAATCGATCCGTCAAAAACCTAGACAGTCAAAGTGAGGGCGGCAATGGGCGTGCAGGATTACTGGACATTGGCGACAGCCTGGCCGTACAAATTTCTTAAACAGAGGTTTGGGGACCTGACGGTTGTGCAGAAAGAACTATTCCTTCCACCTATTGAAGTCAGTCATCATCAGCGTCTTGAACATCAACGAATCTACAGCTTCACCTACTCCATATATTGACCGCTTCGAGCTTTCCCTGCATCTAAGATGGGGAAGCTGAAACTACAGTCTAATGGCTTGAATACGGGCGACACAGCCCCTGGATGAAGGAAGTGTTTACATCCCTAGGTATGTTGTCGGCGATCTCAATCTCCCCGCCAAATACGCCCCGGTCACAGAGGGTGAGGTGCGGCTTTCGGAACGTCTGAGGACCACCCGGACCATATTTAAATCTATCCTGTCCTTCCGTCGAGTTGTCGCGCTCAGCTTCACCTTTTCACTCCCTGTTACAAGGAGCGTAAGAGGATCAAGTGGTATTATATACCCTCGATGTTCAGCGAAGCTGAATACAAGTGCCATTTATAGGAGTGCCTCGTAGGGTAGGTGTGCCCACCATGTGAACCAGCTTGCCTGGTAATTTCCTCTCCCTCTCGCACAATCAATCAATATTCGGACCCTTTGCCCAACATGGTACTTCCTAGTCCTACCTAATAGCCTATCCATATCTTGCTCGGCCTGTTGCTCCAGGCGCGGTATTACTCATCGAATGGTCACCGTTCTACACGCCCTCTCCCTAGAAGAAGGAGACTACAGTGCTGGCCATGCCCTTAATCTTCTCCCAGATCCAGGTCACCACTTCGCAGATATAGTCCCAGATCTTCCACAGCGTCTGCTTGACATATGCGAACACCTTTTCCCACGGAACGAAATACACAACGGCCGCAGCAGCAATAGCTGTGACACCACCTGCCATGCAAGCTCCCCCAATGGCGGCGCAGTTGAAGTATCCAGCTGCCAAGAAGAGGCCAAATGGCCCTTTGATGAAGACGCCTCCAGCGCCACACCAAATTGCGCCAATACCACCAACAACACCGGCTCCGGCGCCTAGGATGACGGCCAGTAGGGATCTCCATTTATTGAACCAGTTCTCTGTCTCATCAGTGCCAGGGGTCGGAGATGGCAGCACACTGTCTGAACTCACTGGTCTGCTGCCACCCGTGTTCGATCGCGGTGGTCCGGACATGCTCTCATGTTGGAAGTCGCCGAACCTGACTTTGATTGCTTCCATATCCTCATCCGTCATGGTGGACATCATTGGTGGCTCAGTGTATAGCCTTCTGACCTCGTCGACATTGCCGCTGAGATCGAAGTGGCATCCCTCCCCGTGGGTGATGTTATAGCCACCAGTGCGAAGCTCGCCCTCCGGCCGTCGGTCCCAGGCCCAGGTCTTGACGTCGCAGTAGGTCGATGAACTACCAATACTTAGCATGTCGGGTCGTCCGGTGAAGAGAGTTCCGCAGCAGGCGACGGAGACGTCCTTCACGGCCTTGGAGATGCTGTAAGTGATGGACTTGACAAACGAGCTGACCAGAAGATGGAGTATTCTGAACCCTTTGTTGGCATAATAATCGAGTTTTCCCTGGAGACTCTCTGGTGTGGCGATGACGATCATAGAACCTGCTGTCGTCGATGTTAGTCGCTCTATCCAGCCTTCCTACTGTCTAGCAGCATCATTTTTTTGGGCAAGGGTACCTACGGGGTTTTGTATTGGCTTGCTTGGCAAGTTTCAGCAACGGTTTTTCATGCTCCTGCTTGACAACGGCAAGAATCATGGTTTGGGGATTGCCATTCCTGCTCTTGACTATTTCCCAAACAGATTTGACCTCTTTTTGGCCTGCCTGCTCGTCAGCAGAGCGGTCCCCTGCGCCGGATGGCTTGCGGGACTCGGGAGATTTGGAAGATGTTTTGCGCGACGGGGACGACTTGGAACCACTCTTCCGAGTCGAAGACTTCGAAGACGAAGTATCAGAAAACCACGAAGGCATCGTTGCTTGTGGAGGAGAGTGCGCGGGGGAAATATCTGAGGACAGAAAATGGTCAGAATATAGGTAAGAGAAAATCAGGCAGGTCTTTTTCGCCGGTGTCTTGCTATGAAGACGTCTAAGTCAACTAGGATCTCGGTGGGCAATTTTACGAGATACTTTATACTTGAAATCTAGGAGCTTGCCTTGCGGAGCTGAGAAGACTACAAAGGGGAATGATATACAACAGGGCTCAAGATCCCATAACCATTGGCTCGGCCATTGAATTCACGGGAGTCGAGCTATGAAGCACTAAGGCATCACTGCAGAGGGCTCCACCCGCACTTTAGTGCTCAGCCAGTTACGCTCTTGTTTGGCTCAGTCTGGGGTTGCACAGGATGTACGCCTGATATCCTTTTGCATCCCGTTGCAGCAAGTTTTCAGCCGCTCGTGTTGCTGTGCAGTTAACAAATACCCGGGTATCTTCCGTAAACTCCGCAACTTTTTGTACTCTAAACTCGTTTATCTTGGTGACTGGCGTTCACCTCCGGTCTACGACTGCGCCGACTTCACGTCAGCTGCATGAATACTTACGGGACATGGGGGTCGACCACTGAGGCTAGCCATATACCTCCTAATCAAGCCATGGAGCTTGATGGCGGCTATTTCGACTCCTCGAGCTGGGCTAGCGCATTCCCTACAGACCAGCAATCAGGCTCTCAAAGAGCACCACATGACATTCATGCCACGGTGGGCCCAACCGATGCTCTTCTCGCCCCCTCAGCGCAGATGGGAGACGTTTTTCAGCGGGTTTCCGTCTACAACAACGTGGGACTTGACGTTAATCTTCTGCCGGACTCTATGAACCGGATTGTGAGGCCCGATGTTGACAGCAGTCGATTCAATTTGCCGGCCCAAACTCGATTTCACGGGTTGGGGTCTCCATCATCTTTCCAAGTGGCAGGAACGACACATGCCGCCTTCTGGGCGCGTCAAACTGAACCCTCAGCTATTGATCTCGGTTGCAACAGTGAGGGTTTTGGCCGGGAACCGCTTTCGTCGGATGCTTCTCGTCTCTTGAGTACCTGGACTAATGGCAATCACATGCACGTCCTACACTCCACGTATTTAGCTGTCAGTCGTGAGACTTCATTTTCACAGCAGGGCTATTTCTACCCGACTGGCATTGATTACAGGACCCATACGAACCGACTCCAATTGCAAGCTGCCCAAACTCAGCCTGTGGATTGCTTTCTATCGGCAGGAAATCTGTCCCAACAGCCAGTACGAATGGCTCCGAGGACAAATACCGCCAGCCAGCAGGCTCAGGCGCAACGGATATCTCGATTCCGAAGCGTTACTGCGGATGTTCCGTTGACGGCTTGTACAGATTTGACTCCAAACATTATTCAACCGACCAGCCTTGGGAATAACGGTATAGGGCTCGAAATGGATGCCACATGGAATATTGCAGTGAAAGATTCTCACAGTTGCCATAATTTAATCATGTCACAGACTGGCGCACCGCCACGACGGTCACCCAGGCGAGCGGGATATCAGGAAATGCCCGAATGCTGTAAAGCTGATTTGAAGACAAGAATACCCACCATAAAATATCTGTTCATCGATCTGGGCTGTAGCATGAAGCAAACAGAGATGATATTTCATCTCCTCTTTGATTTGAGAGTGACGTGAGTGTCCATCAAGGCGTAAATGATTACTTCAGGACTAATGGAATGATTGCAGCGAAAATATACTTAAAAATAAAAAGGGGCCAGAGTGCAGGAAGAACAAATCCGGTCAAAAAGGCCGACAATCCGCGCCGTCCAGGAACGCAGGCAACAAAAAGGCAAGTTCCAAACGTTCAAGGCAGAAGTACCCGTCGAAATTCAAACCATACCCTGCATACGCGAACATATGCACCCTTGCCACATACCACGCGGGCTCGACCTTAATCCGTACAAGATTCAGATCTCACTCCTCCTTTTCATCGATAAATACGTCAAGGGTTTCTTTGATTTCAAATGCAGCAAGAGATCTAAAGCATCGTTAGAAAGGAATGGGAACGAGCAAAATTCGGTCGAATGGAGTTGGCAGAACTTTTTGAGCCGCTGTGAGGGGAGCGACCGACCTTGTTCGAAACAAAAAGTATTTCGTGCAAGTTGGAAAAAACAAACACTCCTCCCGAGCGAGGGAGAACATGATGCGGGTGAGAACGATCATTACAAACATCCTCAACGAAATCGTCTTTCGCCAGATCGCGGATGCACGACACGACTGCAGTCCGTACATGTTGATCCACTTTTGGACCATCTGCCGCATCCTGCAAGGCATTCCCCCACAATTGGGTTATCCCAAAGAAAAGCTTCCTGATGTCATTGCTGATCAGGTCAAAGAATTTGTTCAGGCACTACAGGGTCCTCCGAAGGTGGTCAATACAGGAGCCACCGCGGGACTGCTTGATCTTCTGAAGACTTTCCTTCAAATCTCACCTCGTGACTTACAAGATACCATCCGGATTGGTTGTCTCTGCACTGCCCGGGCCCTCACGAGCAAACTTGGCCCCGATAATGCTACCGTCCTCAGCACGTGGCTTAACTACTACCGCTACCGGGACAAGGAAGGCCTTGATCGACAACAGTTTCTAGGCAGATACGGAAGAGCCCTGGAGGAGATTGAACAACAGTATGCTCCTAACCACGAGTACGCGATCGACATCTTGTGTAACTATGCTGTCGCAGCGCACTACCTTTGTCACGACAACGACCTGGCCAGAAAGCTCGCGTTTGATCTCTGGGAACGGACTCAAAGTGCTTGCGAGGAGCCTGCTTGGACCGTGAAAACCAAGGGGATGGCTGAAGCAGCGAAGTTGATTGCGCTCCTTGGTTGCGTCAACCATGAGAACAAGCGCAAGAATGCAAAGGACATGAAAAAGATTCGTCAAAAAGCAGGTTGTAAGGGGAAGGCAGGTCGCAAGAAATGGCGCCAAACCCTTATCCCTCCACCACTTCCTCAAGACGCCGCGAAGGCCGTCGCTCACCTGGACGAAGCAGCCAGAAAACTCGCAGATCGCGGCGACTGGGACTCCCAATTCACGGCGGCCTTCTTGTATGACTGTCTGGCCAATTTGACCCGAGAATTCTGCAGGGAAAACTCCGAAGGCCATCGTGGAGAAGGGTCAAAGATTCGATCTAACATTGTTTTGTTCCACGAACTCATCAAAGAACCACCGACAGCCGTCTCCGCTTAATGATCTATCACTACAATGCTGACTGGGCTGGGCCAAATCCTCTGAAAGTCAAGGTTCTGTCAAGAAGAGACTCAGCGGTTCCCTTACCTTGTGAAAAAGACGGTACTGTCGCTGGAAGGCCAGCGCATATTCTAGGCCAATGGTAGGCGAAGAGTTGACAGTTGTCATTCGCGACCAAAATCATTCGATTCCTATGACCTACTCACTAGCCAGGTCTTAAATCCAATCGAACAATGCCGGGCGCTTCTTGGAGCCTGTTGGGGCCTCGCATCGACAAGCGACTCCCTAAGACAGACAAGGAAGTTTCTACCTCGAAGAAATGGAATCAGCTAGAGTTAAGAGCCGTCATGAAGCATGTTGACTCAAAAGCACATTTGGGCGCTGCTGTAATTGCAACGATATGGCGGGGATACACATTTTCAATCGCTCAAATCGCTCAAATATCGAATTTATTGGACAGGAATTCGCGGTCACAAGGACAAGGACAAGGACGGAATTAAGGACAGGAACTGACGGAGGGGGAGTTTGAACGCTACCTTCTTTTCCATGTATATATTGTAACAGAGCACTTTAGGGTTTGGCATGCACGTGCAACAACGCACAGGGGCCTGTTCAGCAGGTCAGGAATCGAGAACGCGTTTCTGGTCGGCGCTGACAGGACAACAACACCACCAACACCACCCGGAGAGGCAGTGGCTAGGGCAACGAACGCCTAGCACGGCGGTGCCATCAAGGAGTGGGAAAGGACCAATCAAACACTCAGGAATAGGTAGGCGACATCAAAAACATAGAATACTCTGTTCAAACTGTAAAGAATGGCACACTGCCAGCACTGTAAACTGTCCACCACACCCCCTAGCAATAGCATGGTCTTTTTCTGCATAAACAGAGCCAATTTTAGTCCTTTTTGGTTTGACATGTGACCAGCCAAATCTCCTTCCTGCTACCCCTACACCAGTCCAAGACCAGTCCCACACAGTCACCTTGTCTTGTTACAATATATATGTGTATTTAACAAAGAGACCTAGCGGACGCAAAACAACTCCAACAAACCTCGACCAAGCAAGCTCGATCGTCGCATTGCAACAACACTGCCTCAGCGAGAAAAAATGAGGATCTGGGCACTGGAGCAGCGTTGAGAATATACCATCGAATGCTAATCTGCCGTGCCGGATATGGAAGAAATGGCATGTCCTACAAAAGCTGTGAGTTATTTTAGATCAGTGTGCCATGTCTCCCCTCGCCCACGTTTCTCCCTGTACAGTATATGGCCTCGTCATGCTACCCATGACAGATATCTGGGGTACCAAATCGAGGTTTTCAAGTTTGGCACCATCGACGCTATGATTATTGCTCCAAATACTCACACCAACCCAATTCGGATTGTCGTCATGTGCCGGCATCTATTCAGGGACCGGATAAGCCACCTAGATGAGAAATGTACTTTCCAAACTGCCACCCGTTGATTCGAAGCAGGGCTCGGTAGTGAGGACCGCCAAAATTGGAGTTGTTCCAAACAAGAAGGGCTTCGGGACGTCGTAGCCTTGTAGCAAGTCGAGTGTAAAGTTGGTGGTGAGAAACTCGACGCTCGGCTGGGAGAAGCCAGCAAGAATAGGTGGCTTATCGCTCCAGCCAAACGCTGCTGTCTTCTACCGGAGGCAATGGTAGATGATAGCCCATTCTTTCGATGAAGAGCTCTCCTTCGTTACGTGGGCCGCGCGATTTGTCCAAGTACTGTTTTCCTCCTAGGTTTTCTTGGATTTTCCAAGCGTTGTCTGTCTTTGACCGATTTGAAAGTGAGTAGCTGGGGATGCCCATAGGCGATTCAATCGCGTCTGTCCCCGGTGATTCTTCCTCTTGGCCCACGCGGTCGATCAAGACTGTCAAAACATAATTGCCTCCTGCAACAAGACCATTCGGGAAGACGAATGTTTCCGCCTCTGTCTTGTTACTCGGTCCACCGATCCACGAACCCAAATACGTCGAACTAAGCCACACTGAATGTCCAAAGATCCAGCCGCCGCTGACATTCAGAAAAGCGGATGTTTCAGAACGGGTGGCTGCAAAACGGCCACAGGAGAGAAGCAACGACGTGTGAAACCCGTAATCAGACGCATCAAGGGAGGTGGGTGTCGACAGGTTGAGCTGAGGATTGCTTGTCGACGGGGTTGAGCATATTGGCCAGGCTTCGTCAGAATAAGCCTCGTCAACTTCGGGCAGAGAGTGCAAGGAGTACCACCTTCGCTCAGAAAAGTTGGGTAGCGAGAGTGTCGGAGGCATAAACGCAACAGCGCCACTTAATTTTCCTTGTGAATTAACTGATGTAGAAATCAGCTGGCCGTTGAATATCGCCGCAGTAATCTCAGAAGGCGCGGATATAACTTCGAAGGTCATGGTGCAATTTATGTCACCTGTGCGGTGCAGAGTTGAGCCATCGATGTACACGGTGCGCAGCAGATAACCCCCTTTAACAACCACACTTTGCTTCGATGGGATGAAGAGTTGCTCAGGGCGGCGATGTTTCCAACTCCAACACCCAATGGGTATATGCTTCATTGCGCCTCGGTGGATGAATTTCCAGTGGACCAACCACCACGGTCTGGCGATCTGCTGTCACGTTCCATTGTAGTATCCAAGCTTAGGCTGCCGACTTTCTCGAGACGCTCGCACCCTGGACGAGCTGCGGGATAGGGAGGGAATCTGAAAAGGTGAGTTCGTGCAGCTCGTTAGAGGCTCGTTTGAGCCTCCGTATACTATCATCACTCTGATTCCGGTACGATCCGTGTTCCATGTGAAAACTTCCGCCAATGAATATGTCATGTTTACTCCGCCCACATTGTAGTCAGTCACCAAGATCTTAGAGTCCCGATCAGAATGAGTTCATTCGCCTCCTTGCTGGGGGAGTGTGATCTCTCCAGTTGAGGTAGAGACCGTCAGTTTAAACTTTGTCGTGTCCAGAGATGTCCAGTTAGCATGGCGAATAGCAAAGAAGGGCGGTATTACTTTCAGTCACTTCCACTGGGGTCACTATAAGGTTGTCTGTGTCAGTATATGTCCCATAAGTCTAATTCAAGGGTCGAGCTATCAGATATTGCGGAGTGACTTTAAAAAGTCGGCTTGAAGCTTCACTTAGCCAGATTTTTCCCTCCACACGTGCCGACCTCCGGTAATAGCAGCGCCGTAGTCATAGGAAGAGTCGTCGCCTTCATAGGCTAAGCTCCCAAAGTTCGTACCACCGTAGATCTGGAACTGGGAGCTGGAAGCCACCAGATTTGACGGTATCCGTACCATGTACGTCTTTTGAACTTTTGCTCAAAAGCTCCAATTGTTCTTGTGCAGAATTCGGACAGATTCCTCATTCGCGAAAGCGTTGTACATGTCCCGCGAAACACTAACCTTTGGAGAGCTTCAGCAACCGTTCCTGAAAACCTTCTCAAGGTTCTCTATGAGGTTTCTGACTCTCCTCGGAATTCCATGACCGCAAACAGCATTGCCAGGCTTTGTTGTTGATGCATGATCTGCCAATTTCTCGGAAATCGAGTATTTGGCCACATGTCAGGATGAGCGCCTAGCGGCTAGATGAGTGAATCTCTAGCTCAAATTAGTCTCGACTCATGATCATTACGCATTGGATAGGCATCGATTCCATAAATGTCTGTGGCACCAGGACCAGTGCCAGGTGCGAAGACCCCTTGGACAAGGTTTTCCGTGGAAGCGAATGGAACGATGATACCAGTCGCTCTGAACTGAATCTGAATGTATTGCACATATTCCCTTCGCGGCGCTTCCAGAAAATCTCCGTCCAGGCATATTTGGCCACGAAAGATTTTCATTGTCGGGTTGCACTAAGATGACCGGCTCCCCGTTGATGATTTGGACTTTGTCAATGATGGCCCCAATCGTCGACGTGTAGTTTTGTATGACTTCGAGGTAATCTGGCACTGTGGAGTGCAGAGTCCCGTTGATACTCAATGTCCGGCCATGAAGCCCACCAGCAGCGTTTCCGCATTGATGTACTGTCCGGGTGGACTGATCAAGTAGATACCGGCTTCAGACGCAGCCGAAAAGCACTCGCCAAGAGCAAACACTCCCTGCGCAACGAGGTTCGCAGGTGCGCCTTTCCAAAAATGCCCAATTCCTATAGAATGAAACGGCGTTGTTGCCGATAGCCTTGACTTTGTGAAATATATCAAGCCATAGACCCGGAGGCGGAGTGCGAAATGGCAGCAGAAGTCCCTGATCCGGGATCGTAATGGAATTCTCGTCCCAAGTCACCTGAGACAGTCCTCAGTATCATGCGCTCCAACACCGGTAGACGACACAAATGCTTACCACGTCCTCTATTGTTTGGACTCGTCTGGAGAAAATGCCAGCTTGCTGGCCGGCGTCACCGTTGACGACAACGGCGGCACAGGCAACAGCTAACCATATGATAAGTCTAGTCCACCAGTATCATGGTCTTTCACTTTGTCCTCCAAGCTCCTTTGGGGAAGTTAGAGATGACCTACCTCTGAGTTCGAGGCCTTTATCCCTGAGAGATCGCCCGAAAGTATTCATCGCAACTTCGAGCATCGTAGGGGTAAATTTTGGGCAAAATGATTGGAGAATGAGGTCTTAGCGGTGGTACTGTATTTGTAGGGATCGGCAGCGGAAAACCATAGTGGGCCCACCGCAGGTTGTGGTTAGCTTGCAGCGATTTGGGAAAATTGCCGGTGGCAGTCATTGCATGGTCTCGGATCTTCTGCATCAGTTGCCAAAAATTTTTTTGGGCATAGACTGTATTGATGGAGATGCTCATATTGGTGCAGTCAAGAGAGTGGACAGACTTCTTCAAGAGCCGTGCGGGAAACGCAGTGCTGGATCCGTTATATGAAGGTGGTTCGCAGAAGGTAGTATAGGTCACGTGCTGTATCGAGTTGTACGAGAGAAGCTATTCGAGTTGTGTTTTACATATATTGAACGAGAGGGGAACCTTTCGTAAGGTAAATACCAGATCTCGTCGAGAACTGGAAGCTCTTTGTTGCGCTGCCTTAGGTAACCTCGGTGCTGGCGTGGTCGGCGTGAGTATTGGAAATGTTTCGCTCTCAGCCTAATACTAGAAGTAAGCCTCGACGTGTCAGGCCCATCAATAGATGGAATGGTGCCAAGGGGTGATAGGACATGTCGTGCATTGGGAGAAGAGTAGTTTTGAGTTGGCCGTCTCCGCCGTACTGCGTTTTCTGTACCTCGTAAGGTGATATCCAATGTTGATTGATTACCTCGTACTTGGAAAGAGAAGGGAAAAAAAGTAACAGAGCGTTTAAGAGAAAGTACCGGGCGCCGTCACGTGCTCGGATAACATTCCTCATGCGGTGAGCCATATTTTTAGCATTGGTTCCCAGTACAAGGTAAACACCAAGACGCTGTTCGGCACCTGAATCAATCAATTTTAGCAGGCAGGTCTGGTTATCTCCAGGGAAATCCAGAGTAGATGTAACGGTCTTTAAGAAGCTCACATCCTCCAGGGCACCAGTCCTGAAGCTCTTGGATCATCCTCTCGTCAAGATGCCATGATGTTTTCGTCTGCTTGACGCCTGCCTCTATTCAGACTCCCACCGGCCTTCCCTCATGGCCGAAATCCTGGGTGTAGCATCGGCCATTGCGGGGCTGATGTCTTTGAGCGGCACTGTTCTCGCTGAGGGCTACTCATTCTTGGGAACTGTCCACAGAGCCCCGAGAGAGCTGCGGCAGCTCTTAAGCGAGACTGCTGCAATAGATACTGTCATCGGGCAGCTGCAATGTCTGACGGATGATGACCAGGTGGCGGGTTCCGGCTGCAAGTCGGCTCTGAACGAACTCAGCGATTCGGGCGTTTTACAGGAGTGCAAAGAGTCTCTGCTCTCTGTCAGGAATTCCATTGCCGCCTGTGAGCAGGTTGCCGGCCATCGAGTACGGAATCTTGGGAAGATGATCATATGGCCGTTCAAGGAGAAAGAAACCAAAGATGCCTTGGCCAGGTTATCCAGACTCCGAGATCTTCTGAGCACAGCCATGACTATGGATGTGAGGTAAGCCCCAAAGCGGACACTGCCTGATCAGCAACCAAACCGACACTGATTTGTACTGTAGCTTAACGTTACGAAATGTCTGTCTACTTTCTCAGCGAAGCTCTATGGGCGTCGAAGCTCTGCAAACACGAGCAGCACGCAGGGATGACAGAGAAGAACGAAGACGTTTGTTCAAGTGGCTAGACCCAAGTTCAATCAACGTCAACGAGAACTTGGAGGAGGGTTTGAAACATCATCATCCAGGAACAGGCAGTTGGTTCTTCGAGTCCGCAACCTACATATCTTGGTCAAGCGGGCCATCAACCCTCCTGTGGATAAATGGGATCCGTGCGTGGCTCTCTCAATCCCACAAAGCCTTACTGACAGGACGAGCTAGCCGGTAGTGGGAAGACTGTGCTGGCGTGAGCTTGCCCGCTTGTTCTCTGTGCAGCAACCTCTCTGACGCCTCTAGGTCTTGCATTATTCAAACGCTTCGTGCACAGACTGCTGAACCAGCGATGAGCTTGGTGTATTTCTACTTTGACCACAGAAACTCGGTGAAACAAACTTTGAAAAGTTTCCTGGGGGCTATATCGCTGCAACTCATATGCCAACATCCAGAGTTGCTGGATGAAGCCATGAATCTTTATCAAAAATACGAAGCTAACTTCGACGATGCTATCAGCAGCACCGACCTTCTCGCTCTGCTGACAACTTCGATTCAGACTGTCGGCACCCTCATGGTTGTGATCGACGCTGTGGATGAATGTTCGGAACTTGAAGATTTTGTCTCAGCCCTAGGCAGAATTGTGGGAACCGAAGGTGCTATAGTCCGAGTTATTGCTACAGGTCGCCATGACCACTCACTTCAGAAACACATGGGAACCATGGCCGCTCACCGTGTCACGCTCGAACACAACATTCGAGACGACATCAGTTCGTTCATCCGCGCTGAGGTGAATGCACGAGTTGCTGCACGCAAAATCAGGATCAGGTCTCCCGAGCTAAAAGCCCTCGTCATCGAAACACTATCTCGCGAGGCCGGTGGCATGTAAGTCTTCGGGATACTAGAGCAGCCTTCGCGAGCTGATTCATTGCGGGACAGGTTCCTTTGGGTGAAATTCCAGTTAGACATCATTTCAAGACTAACCAATGATAAAGCAATCCGCGGGGCTCTCCGTGAGCTTCCCAAAGGACTGGAAAACACCTACATCCGTCTTCTGGAACAAGTCAAGGAACAGAATACCCACGACTTGGACGCAGTCTGCAAGATGCTGATGTGGCTTGTCTCATGCTTGACACCTCTGACTCTAAGTCAGCTTGCCGAAGCCGTCTCCATCGAGCCAAACGACTCGGAGATAGACTTTG